GGTATGGAAACATACAAAAAAAAGGTCCAAAAGACATTCCTAAATAACAGGTGATGAAAGCAGTGTCACTGACATCTTTTAAACTGGAGCACATTTCTGTGCACACTGCTACCATGTATGACACATGACAAGATGAAGCCATGGTATTTTTAACTTCTACTTCTTTCAATACTAAAGACTACAGAGTAGTTTAAAATCCATAAGACACTAAAGAGCAAATGGCACTTCCCTTAAGAAAAGGACACTACGAATCCTTAATCAGTCTGACATTTGAAGGTGTCAGTGACAGGCAGGGGGAATGGCAAGTTCATCTGGTGTTTGATACTATGAGGTTTTGCCTCCAGATATTTTGGTTATTGAGAAAGAACGTGCCAGCATGCACTGATCTCACCTTCATGTAAGGTAAGGACTGTCATGAAAGAAAACTTGTGTTTTGGAGTACATGGATTTAAAGAAAATCCATCTTTTAACTCTTGCCTTTAAAAACTGGGTTAAAACCAAAAAGATAAAGAACAAGAGTTTTAATGATTATGTTACACTTGTACCTTATTTATCATATAAGGTTTGCTGACTGGGAAGGCAATAATTTAAACAGTAAATTATTTTAGTTGCTACTCATGCTACTATTTTTATTTCCACATCCACTGGATTTTTCCACTGAATTTCAGAAAAAGATTTCATGTCTTCAGTAAAATAAGAAGTTATTTCCCCTCCATCCATTTGGAAGGTATATAAAAAAAAAAAAAATTAAACAAAAAAAAATTAAAAGCACTGGCCAAGGAAAGAATTTAGTTCAGCTGTTGCTTGCCTTATACCAACAATGAAATAGATATTGTACTTTTCACTCAAAAAATAAGTTCTTATTTTTGTTTAGCATGAACTCCAGCTTTTGGAGTGAGAAGGGGTTATGGACAACAAACAAATCCTTGGTAATAAGACTCCTCAAAGCTTCATTTCAGTTCATTGGAAAACAAAGCACTTAAAGAAAATAATGTAATCTTCCATTTGCAAAAGTTTGTCACCAATTACATGCTCACCATTAAAAAGAAACTGACTATAAATTAAGAACATAATTGTATGAAGGCATTTTTCTAGCTAGTTATGGTATTGTGTCTTTGATGCAGTGGCAAACACCATTGTGCCTCATGAGCCATGGAAGATCCAGAATGACACTAACATTCTTTCTTTGGAAAAGAATTCTTTAATTTAGAAACTTGTGCCTTGGAGATACTGATAGTAAGCCAAACTATCACCTAGAAACCTCAGCTCTTTTCATTTTCTACCTTTATGAGGACTTTATTTCATTTCCTGCTGGAACTGACACACAGCATTTAGAACAGAGAAGATGCCTCTTACCCAGAATGAAGTGAATTCTATACAGATCAGATTTCTGAAGCAGACTGCGTAGCTTGAGCAGCAGCTCAGTTGTTTCTGCACCATTATCTGGGGTCACAGACTTCAGCTGAAGTATTGCCTCCAAGTACAAGACAGCGAGGTGAGTGTGGTACTTTTCTTTCTGCAGGTGAAAAGTGCAAGGTTAGCTCAGTTTACAAAGACATCCCCTTCTCCTCACCAACAACAGTGGTGCTTATTTACAGAATTACACAGGAATGTATATTAATTCATTTATTTAGTTCAAATTAATCAGAAAGTCTTTTGCTTGTGCAGACAGACACCTTATTCAGACCAGCCTCACAAGACAGACTGTACCTATGGTATAGGATTCTCTATTCCATTAACACAGATATAAAGCATCTTATTCCTAAACCCCTCTTCACCTTAAGTAAACACACTCTATAAATAGCTTTTCTTGTGCAAAACTTTGAGTACAAGTATGATCTCCACTGTGTCTTCTCCCTTTATTTCCCTTGTAAAATGAGCAATTTTGATCTAATTCATTTTTACTCATATTCAGGTATATTCTTTGACCTTTTCTATTTCTGCAGTAAAATTTGAGAGAGCCACCAGAAGTGGAGAAGCACTTGGACCTACAGTTTGTGCTACCCACTACCCAATACTCATCAGAACAAGGGGATGATTTGACTGTTTGAAATATCCTCCCCAAAGCATTCACAATTCCCTAGCTCTTTCTAATGACCAAATCAATTTACAACTCAGACTTTGCTAGCAGGTAGAGTAGATTATACTTTTGTTGTAAATATTCTATGAGGCACTATGTTTAACTCCAAAAGTTTGTTTGAAAATATTCATGGCATCAGAAACTAGAATATTCATCTGTTGTGGTGTCACATAACTTGATGTATTTGAAATAGCAACAGAAACCACTGATCTAGCATGTCTATTTGAAGAATGTAAATTAGCAAACTGGTCATCAGATCTGCTGAGTTTCAGCAATGTTCATTTCTTTGCTTTAACTGCAGGTTAAAGTAACTTCTCCTGTGCTTAAAATGTCTCATATCCAACCACCATAACGTTTGGCTGCTTCTGTGATATGCAATCATGAGAAGTAAAAGAACCCAAAAAACAAACTAACCCAAATCTCTGAGGGGAGGTAAGCAACTGTCTTGCCATCATGAGAGTTGGAAAGTTAAAAAAAATGTAGATATCCACTCCTCATCTTCTACTTCAGTCTTAAAACCACTCCTTGCCTACTTGAGTATATCTTAAAGCCTTCAAATTATGCTTGTTTCTTCTAGACTTAGGCTTTTTTCAGAGTTGTTGTTCATAGTCTGCATTCCAAATCCTTCTTTTAGTATCCTTGTGGACTCACCTCTATTTTTCTTTCCAATACTAGATGTTCTAGATACTTAATACGTGCTTTAGGATATTTGTTAAGGCAATTGATGATATCATCTGGATTAATGTTTTTCTCCTGGTCCTCCAAAGGCCTTTTAGTGAAAATCTGTACGCCAACCTGGAAAGAGTTAATTGCATTTAGGAATTCAGTGGCAACAATTTTCTTGCCTTTTTAGTTTAAATATTTATCTAATAGTACTATCAGATTAGTTAGTACATTTTTCAGGAAGATAAAGAACACAAAACTGTGCTCAACACTGGTCTGTGCTTATCATGATCTCACTCCCTCCTATCTCCACTGCTTCAGTTTGTGGTGTACACGCTGTCCAGCCTATAAACCTTCTGCTGGGCACATCCTCCACCAGCCACAAAAAACATTGAACAGAACTCCATAACAGCAGGGCAAGAGACTCCAGCCTTTGCAGCAAGAAAGCCTAAGATAAAGGCCAGAATGTTTACACCCTTATCAAATGTGATAAATGAGAGAGTTCTGTAAGGACCAAAACTGAAAGTTTAGACATCTGTCACTGCAGGTAATAACTGAGCTTTAAATTAATACAACTCAGGCAGTGACAAGTCCCAGCAGCACAGACTGATAGAGCATCAAGCATCCCACTTAACAGCACACCAGACTAATGGATGTTACAAAACTGTTTTTTTAATTTTACAAACCTCTTCATTTTTTTGTAGAACCCATTCAGAGTATTTCCACACTAGATCTTGGTCTGAGCAGAAAGTGAGGAAGTCTACTATGTATTCATAGAGATCTGAACGTGTAGAATCTTCAATGTCTCCATCAACTATTTTCACCCATAGCTGCAACAAAAACACACAGAAATTAAAGTGCTTAAAGCATGTGCTAGCCCCTCCAACTCAAAATGTGTATGAGTTACAACCACACTTAGTGTTAGCTATTGGTACTTGTGGAATTAGAAAGAGCTCCTTGGAACACCAATTGCAAGGGACCTCACTGGTCACTAAATTTAAGCCTCCTCTCCAACACAGGCTTGTCTTGCCCCTGCCATATTCAACTAATTCAGACCCTGTACCATATGTGGATTCTCATTCTGAGAGTGACTGGCTGAACACTTCAGGAGGAGGCACATGAGCCACAAGGAAAGTTTCTGACAAAAGTCTCTGATGCACGGTATGCTTTTCATGTGTAAGATTAAAACCAAATGATACAAACAATTTAGAAGACCACCTGATTTTCTGTTCTTTCATTTCAACTGAAGGACTTTAAGTACCATGTCAGATTATTTTTATATACATTACAATTTGAATTAAAAGGTGCCACATCTAGCACACCAGTTTAGCAATAAACCTTGTTGCATGAAATGAAGAAAAATATCTTGCACATGACAAAGGTACATGCTGGTTTTTTTGTCCTTACTGTCTTTCTGCTCAGGAAATTACTGTTTACAAACCTGCCTTGGATGCATTTGAGAGTCTTACTGGGACTAACTTACTCAGAAAGCCACACAGCAAGGCAAGCTACCTCAGCTCTTGGAGATGGTCTGAGACATACATGCTATTAAGTAAGAACATATTAACTTTTGTAGATGAAGTTTTGCAGACAGGAACAACAACATTTAGTCTGCAGTCTAGAAACTACTGCTAGTCTCAGAAACAGAAGAAGGAGTGTCCCCAACAGGTCTTGCAGAATGTGTTCACTGTCCATCATCAGATAAGGATATAAACTCTCAGTTGCTACCAGTGTCTGCCATGAGACTCCAATACTGCTCTGCTGTGTCTATACAGACTAGTCAGCACAGGCTATGGTCCTGATGTCTCTCAAAACACCTTTTAAAGTAACTTCTTGATTATTTTAGTGCTTCTGTCCATCTTTTAAGAGCACAAACATGTTCTGGTATGTAGTTTTGCTTAAAAATTCGCATGCAAGCATCTAAATAGTTGTCATCTTCAGTAAGCTTTTCAGGTTCTTCACATCTAGCATATTAGTTTGTTCAAGGAAGTCTTAGCATAAGTTTCTCTTACATGTACACATCACTACTTTTCAAACAGATAAATTAGATTTTTATCTCAGAGGTAAACTGCTGTTTTGGAATGGTTTACAGGTGACACTAAAAGCTTTATTCTAACCTGAAGAGCTGCAGCATCTTGACCATTATAGTGATAGAGGAGACCAAGGGCAAAATACCTGTAGAGAAAAGAGAAAATAATATTAACATCACTAGATCTTGCCTAACAGTTTCATTATGGTTTGATTAGCAGAGAGTATAAAAAATAATTGCTTAGAGTGACATGTGCATGGCCATGTCTACCCTTGAACATATGTCTGTAGACTCTTCTTCAGAATCAAAGGGGAGAAGTTCTGCCCTAGAAATGTGTCTCCTGTCTCTAAAGCACTTTCTAGTTATTAGCTCAAACTTAAAGTGTGTGTCAAATTAGAGATAACTCCCATGCTGTTCTCTGAATATCATATACAGACTTAACACACAGCTCCAATAAATATTCCTCCAATAGTTAACCAGGTGTCATTGAAACAATTTTTATGATGCTTTTACTTAAAACTCTGTTCTACTAGCAGAAACATTTTTTCCTTTACTGCAGCATGAAACCAACTCAGACAAGGAAGAGCTTTGTACAGGGCCATTACAGAGTTGTGGGGTGGGTTTTTTTTGGGTATTGTAATAAGAACACAGCTAAAATTCTGTAACAGCTGTTCTTATGGAATGATGTTCCACCATTCACACTTGCAGAAGTCTGCCATGCAAACCACATTTACCAAGAGGATTTAATGAAACACCTAAAATAAATTAAACTATCCTAAATATAGTTCAATTAAAGACTCCTCCTTACCACTGTAGTTGCTACTACTGCACCACACAGTTTAAAGATCAAAGAAATTAAATCCAAGATGGAGACACTACCTAGGACCAGAGTTTGTATTTTACATATTTACTACCTAGTGTTTCCTGCTTAATGACTAACAGCCAATTCTCCATCTGCTGACATTTCCAGTCACCTTAACCTCCTTTTGGTGCATCAGTGGGAGCACAGAAAGTATGCAATTCAACAGTAAGATCTTTTTCCCCTTAATAAACAATAAGGATTTTAAAGCCACTATCTGGTTAATAGCTTCTACCTAAGGGAGAAGGTGCTTTAAGGCATCTTATTATTCAGTCCATATACCACTGCTGCCTCCATTCAACTGTCACAAGAGCAAACAAATCACACTCCTCTTTTTTTTTCCTTCCCCCCAAATCTGTACCTATCCCTTATTTTTGTGTTGGACACAAAAACTTTGAGGCAGAACCAAATATTTACCAGCATAAGACAAAATGCATTTTCTTTACCTAATACCTTTTCACCACTATTTTAAAGTACTACCCAGCCAGGCCAAGCTGTCTTTTTGACATGTAGACACCAAAACTACAAAGATTTGATGTGTTGCTCTAGAAGCCAACAACGTTTAAGAATTTTCCCTCTGGTGTCAAAGACGGACTCCTCAAAACAAAACAATCCACTCACTTTTTGTGTTTTTCCAGCCAGGCAGCACTATCTGTTAAAAGACAAAAGTTCTCTGAAACCAGCAGATCCAGCAGGCTCTCGTGGTTTGCCTCTGCATACAGCTTGAGCAGGGCCGTGTCGATGTCCTCCTTGTAGCCGTTGGCGACCTCGGTGCTGCGCACCTCGTTCAGGTAGCTCATGAGGAAACGTTTGCACTTGGTCACCTTCTCCTGGTCCCCCTGGGTCAGCTGGTTCAGGTCTGCATACTCGTGCAGGGGGGGGTGGCACCGTATGAACGAGGAGGAAGTAGGCAACAGGAAGGGGTAGAGAGAGATCAGCTCCCGGACGTCAAGCTGGCCGCTTCTGCAATTACAGTGTCAAACTGGATGAGGCAAAAAGAAAGAAAAAGTGTACATAGGCACAAAAAACTGACACACTGGGAAGGAGTGCTCACGTGTGCCCAGAGGCAGGACACCAACAGGCTGCCAGCTGCTGAAAGTTACTGCCTTCTATGCTGGAGGAAACAGATTCGGAACCAATCTGGAATTGTTTTTGCTATTTCTGTCCAGGCTTGTTTATTGTTCATTTGCCTCCTCTGTATACAGAAAGCTGGGAGAATTTGGAGGCTGGCCAGCCCTTTGCTTTTGGCATCCCATGGCTGTTCTGTGGCATATTCACAAGTCAGCTAAATAGCCTCAGAGCAGTTCCTAGGACTGTCCTAGACTTCACCCATGGGAGAGAGTGAACCCTTTCAGACAAGCCACAAAGACTACAAGCATAATTCTGCAGAAAACAGAAGCTTTCAGAACACCTCTTTGTATGAGGAAAACATTTTCCCTAACCCTGAAATGCACCAAATTCTTCCTTTGGCTCTCTTCTCCAGGAGGTTCTCAAAATGAACTGTGGGTAGAGATCATGTATCTCTCTAACTAGTAAGTTGTGGTCTACTGCACAGGCACAGCTCTTGGGCGTACGTCTGTGTCAGAGGCTATGGAGTGGCTTTTCCACTTTGCATGTCAAGAGCATCTACACTGTAAGCTGTAAAACAGATACTCTACACAAAACACTCTACACAAAACATTTCTCTTTCAGCCTAGATCAAAGAAATTCCACAAGCATTTAAAGAATGCATGTTGTGACAAAAGAATGAAATAAGTTTTTTCACACATGGCAAGCAACTACCCAGTTTTCACAGCTATAATGACTCCTCCTCCCAGGCCTTGCTTTAGATGAACAGCAAGAAATCATGATTTATAATTTATTTCATTGTCAAAGTCATTGTTCAGAATTTATCATTGAAGATGAGTGCTCCTGAAATGCAGGAGGTACTGCTGCTGAAAAAAAAGCCAAAATGAACTGACAGTTCTCTAAAAGAAGCCCTGATTAGTTACTACTGAGCAGGCTCATCCCTCCCCTACTGTTGCAAAGTAATGAGTTCAGTGGGGCATGCCCTGGGTTGGTTACTTTTTGCCAGGGACAGATTTCCAAAACCAGCCAGGAAATATGATCTAGTAGGTGCTGCTGTCACCACAGCAACACCCATTTAGAAGCTTTTTGAAAAGTAAATGCTGTCCTTTGGCTACAAAAACCCATACCAGAAGAATTACATTCTAGGAGCCAGCAGCAACAGCACATTTAAAAGCAAGTATCCCATTCCAGAACCTAGTGGCTGCACAGCATGGGAACAGCAACACAAACAATAACAGACCACAACAGAGGAAAAACCTGAACATGGGAAGCCCTTCTCTGAGAAGAGGTTTGAATACCAAGATTTTCTGATTCATACACAGAACTCTTACTGCCTAAGAAAACTTTTATGCTAGAAAAGCAAGCTTCTAACCAAGAGTAAAGTGTTCATGTCTATTTTGCAGATTTCTGCAGCTGAAATTTCACCTTAATCCCTCTTTTCAGACTTGATATTTGGTTATGAAATTCATAATCTGCATTATGATGGAACTCACAAGTAGATGAGTTCACAAGACTCTTTTTTTGAGGCAGAATAATCAAGAAGCAGCAAGTTCTGCCAGTGGTGGGACTTGATGGTTCAAAAAGCAACTGCTCTTCCAGGATGAACTTGTTACTTTAACCTTAACTGCAGCTTTGGTTAGTCCAACTGCTTGTGGAAGTAGCTCCTGCATCCTTTCATTGTCCCATCCAGCTTCTCCTGGATGAGGCAGCAGTCAGCTACTTCACCTCTGAGCTTCATGCATTCTGGCCTTCATAACCACCTGTTTCCAAAAGAAGAATTAAAACCAGCTTCCAAGCCAGGCCAGCCAAAACCCTGAGCTGTGAATCACCAGTGCTTCTGCCAGCAGGTCTGACTCAAGCTCACACTGTACAGTTTTGCCCTTCCTACAGCAATGGAAATCAGCAGTCAAGCAGCCTTCTCAAAAGCACAGCATCACACAGAACAAACTTCTTCAGAAAAGTACCAAATATTAAGCAATGGTCCCACCTGCATGAACAGTTAACATTCACCTCAAGGCTTATGGCTCCTGGGATCTGTGGATGTCTTGTGGCTCTTTCCACCACATTTAGAGGAAACAGTTTAGAAGCAGCTCCAAAGGACCTCATCTCTCTTGAAAAACACATTTTAGTCTTCAGCTTTCAGCATCTCAAGTTTAGCAAACTATAGCTAGCAACTTACCACAGAGCAGAAAACAGGCTCTAAGGGCAAGTCAAGCTGCCAGTGCTAAGCAGCAGCTTCTCTTCAAGTAATTCTGCATTTGGTCTTTTTGGGCTTCATAAACCCAAACAATGCAAGAGGCAGAATCTACAAGTTTCAAAGAACTTAGATCTAAATTCAGACCCTTAAATTTACAGATATCAGAGCTGTTAAAAAAGCCTATAAGATTTAGCTGTCTCCAGGTGTAAGTACCAGCTTTTTTTTTTTTAACCTTTCTAGTGTAGGGGAGACTTTAGCTAAAGGTCTATAGCCCTTTCCAAGTGAGACAACACTGAAAAGAGTTAACCTTCCCATTTGTTAGAAAGAGCAACTTATATATAACAGAATTTGTCAGACCAAAGAAGCTCCACTTTGACAGCTCACACAGTTTAAGGTTAACAGATCCAGCTGAAGTTCTCCTCCCTTTGTTGAATTATTTGAATTTCAATAAAGCTACCACTTCCTTTCTGTCAACTGTCTTCAGTATTCAGAAGTATCAGCATAACCAAAAGGAACTTAGCAGGACAGTATTCCTCTTAAAAGTTTAAATATTTAAGAACTGAAGTTAAGCATAAGCTATAACTGTATCTTGACAATCTTAATCCTTCTCAACCAAGATTATTGATGGGAGAAAACAAGACTTTTAGTCCAACATAGTAACTTCCCCCCCTAGTGTATAACTGGCTAATATTTTCTGAGGAGCAAGAAAAAAATCTCATTTCACATTTGGCTAGCAGGAGGCTCACAGCCCACCAAGGTCTTGGAGGTACTGCTGCCACCACTCTGTTTCACTGCTAAATCCATCTTTTCCCAGACAGGTACCAATTTTCCCTTTGGAACTTTAAGACTGAAGCTATTTCTGACTAACACCTGCAGAGCAACACGTGGGGGTAGGAGGGACTGTTTGCATAGACTGCCACTATCTTTCCCATTTTTCCTCTAAGCATCAGTAAGTTTACATTAAAGACTGAGTATATATTGGCTCTTCTGGCTCTTTCCACCACATTTATTGAACTAGGTGTGCTCACCCGGGCTGAAAATTGGGGAATCTGGATTCTATAAGGAGTTTTTCAGATCACCAAAATACTCTGAATAGCTTATGTATAGCTGGCTAGGAGACAAATCACAAAACTCATCTTTGCCTTCTCTTCCCCTTGCCCCCTGCAGGCTTCAGAAATTCATGAACAGTTGTTCTGCTTTGGAGATGAAACTTTTAGAGGAAGGGAACACCCTTGGATGCTGACTCAGCTCCAAAATTCATGCCTGGACAGCACATTTTCTCATGAAGAATGTTTTTGGTTTTTTTTCTACAGAGAAGCTCCCACAACCTTGCTCATTAAAGTTCATTTGTCAGGTGTACTGCTAGTTGGATGGAGGTTGCACAGCTGAACTTGGCTCTTCCCACAAGGTGCCTGAGGTCCCCACAGGACACATTTCCCCCATTTCAGTGCTTTTAAAAGATCCTCAAGCCACTGCTAGCAAGGCAAGGCTCCCAGGTTAGACCCCACAGGCAGGGGGGAATAAAGGGGTAGGCAAAACTTGGTGAGCCATAGACTAGAGAGCAGCAGAGCTATACAAGTGTGGCCACCTAACCATACCTAGACAAGGAAGACATATTCTAGCCAGTACAACCTCAACAAGCTATTTTACCAAAGCTGGCCACATTGAAGAAACTTTAAAAAAGCCCACTGGAAAGCCACATGGAAGGGCTTTGTGGGAATGCTAGGAAGGATTCCTAACGATGTACAGCTTGTACTTCTACTTCAGATACAAACCACAGCAGCAATTCAGTCTAGTGTTTGGAAAATTACAGGGAGGAAGAAGACTGCAAGTTGCTCACTAATGCCAAAAACTGCAAGATGATACAGAAGGGTGGTTGTGGCCAAAACAAATTGCCACTAAAGGCTCTTCAGGCCTTTCCTGTGATCCCCTCGTCGTCACTGAGTGCACACTGTCCATTCAAGCCCAGCAAAATGGCAAGTCCCCCCCATCAGCAGTAACATTCCCCAAAGCTTTACTTTCTTAAATACATTTCCATAAACTCAAGGACAATTTTTCCTGTACTGTACACACTTATGATTTACAGCAAATTGTCTAACCTTAATCCTATTCCATAAACTCTAAACAGATTTGAAGTGAATTTCAGCAGATAACAAGGAGGGTTATTTTATGTGATCAGCATGGATTACACTAACTCTGGACAGCACCCCATCACAAAATGGAGCACAGACAGCAGAAATGAAATTATCAGGTAAAATAAAGATAACGAGCAGCATTTTTTGAATGAAAGTGGAATATCAAGGTCAATTTGTAAAGAAGTGGTTGCTGAAACAGCAAAATGGGGAAGGTCAGTACAGACTTCAAGAACAAATCTTCTGTCTTTTGGAAAAGGCCTAGCAGAACAAGCCAAGTGTTCTTTACAAAGTGTTGAAAAAAACTCAGTATCAGCATCCTCCAAAAAAAGTAGTGTAATTGTGTCAATAATATCTAAATTGTAACTAATAATTAGATTGCAACTTCTAACAAAACAGGTTCTTTCCCCTTAAAAAACAACGAACCAGGCAATGTTCATGCTGTAAATCACAGCAGAGGCTCAATAATAAAGCCTTGGCCTTCATGGGCATAAAATATCTCCACAGATAAAACACTCAGATTACAGGATTAAAGCCTTAATGCTACTGTATGTTCATTGTTACTCTTTTTAACCCCAACAAAAACATGTTCATCACAAGGAATGCACATCTGCATCAAAAAACATTCAAATGACTAAGTTTTTAAAATCAACAACACTAACTATTTAAAGATAAAAGAATAAATGTCTTGTCACACAATTACCTGAAGAGTTCTTTTGCTTCAAGGAACTGAAGCTGTGCAAACTGTATAAAACCTGCTTGCTGCAGGATTCGTTTGTACATTACCTATGAAAGAGAAGTGGGGAAAAAAAGGTTTATTATAGTTGTAAGGAGTTATTTGTGTAGTGCTAGTCACTACTGCAATAACTAACTGCCAAACCTACTGAGCACCTGTTCTTCAAGCAGGCCTGTCAAGTTACATGCAAAATAAAGCCTTGATCCTCTACACCTTCAATTGTATGTACCTGAATACACTGAATCTGCTGCCCAGCCTCCATTTCTTACACAGAAGTGTGTGTACACAACATCGTTCACGAGTACTTAACAAAAGCAAAATCAACAAATAGCAAGTTGAAGTTCCCTTATTCAAATAATGACTTATCTGACACCAGTCTGAGTTGCCTCAAGTTTTTGCTCATGTTACTTGTAAGTGTAAAAGTCAAGGGTCTTCTCTGAAGCTCCCCATGATTCAGCAGGCACACACACAAAAAAGATTTAAACTCAAGGGTGGTCCCACTTGACTGTGCAGTCACCTTTCTCCCCAGCTTCTTCAGCAACCTGAGTGATTTACAATCTCATCCCCAACTAATGAGCAAGTTTCTGACTTTCTGCCAGGTTTTCTTTTTTTCTGTTCCACCCCCACCCCAGGTTTTTGTTGGTTTTTTTTTAATACAAACATTTCCAAAGCAGTTCAACTTATCCAACATGAAGTACATTATGCAATGTACACTAAAAAAAGCAGTTAAAAAGAGCAGCACAAGTAAACCATAAGAAAAGCTACATGTTGCAAAGTTTTACTGTTAAGGTCACACCTAGACAGAAGAAGATTTACAAGAAGTTCACTCAAAAAAGAACACAAAATGCTAGGTATTTATTTAATCTGAATGGTCAATTAGTTACCAGGAGGTTAAATGAAACCCTCGTGCCCACAATATTTCCAGCAGCAAAAGAGAATTACTAAAATCCAGAAGCAAACTGTGCTCTACAAAGCATCCACCATTTGAGACAACACTGGTATTGTGCAACCACACCTAACAACACCCACGTGCCCTCAGTTTTTCCCTTCAACTTTCTCCTGAATATGCAGCTTTCCAATGTTCAACAGTGTGCATGCATGCTGTTATTAATAACAGACTCCTGTTTTCAATGAAAATACCAGAGAAACTGCAATTCATTAGCAAAATATTCCAGGCAGGAATTGCTAAGAGCTCCAGGCCTCACATAAAGACTGATACTGGAATATGTGACTTTTCACCTGGAATAAAGATTGTGGGTTTGCCAGGAGAAAAGCTTGGCTTAAGTCCACTTAGTCTGTGCATGTTTTACTAATAGATTATTTTAAGGAAATAATCTTGATCATTAGCAAGTCATTAAAACCTATTGATTCGTCAGGTTGTGGGATTTTCCCTGCTTCCCAGTGTGGGGATGAGAAGGGGAAACAGAGGGAAATGCATCTGGCACATTTTTCAGACAAATGTAACAGTATCAAAATAAATGGACAATAGTTTATGAGATTTTTACATTAATGAACATTACTATGCTTTACATCCAAGAGACAGTCAAAATACAGTCGACTAAAGCTAAAAGGGAATTTAATTAGAGTAATAAAAACTATCTCAGGTGATCAATTCACAAAATATCCCAAATATTTTTGATTTATGACTCTTACTATCAATAGAGTAATCTGTGAACTGATGAATTTTTTGTGTGTGTGTATTTTTTTTTAAAGTCTGTTCTCAATATCTGCAATGGAGTGCCCACTAAAATTTACATATTGACTAACTTAGGATATTGAAATTAAGTTCAAACTGATCTAAGACACTGAAAATACTGCTTTAATTGTAGACCTTAGTCTGTACAGCAATCGTTTTCAACTAGAAGTAGAAAAGAGCTTGTTGATAGTGTAAGTACAGGCTCATGGAATCAGTTTTTGATTTTAACTGATTAAGTGGGTATCACTTTCATTGAAATGTTGACTTATCTTCACTTGTCCTTTAAAGCCACACAACAAAAAAGCTGTAGAATATCTATGGACAGATGCTTCCCCAACTTTTTAAGGATGCAGTGATGAGATAGGGAATATCCAGATTGATTTTTAGCTGACAAGATAAACACTAGATATTAAGATGCCCTGTGGTAAGGATTATGGAAGCAACAGATCAGACTGTCTGTGGAAAATTCAATATTCTCTCTTTCTCACAAGTATTTAAAAACATGCTACACCTATAGGCCAGCCACACAGAGTTAACTTTTATTTATGACAGAAAAAAACATCTTGAGTTCTTCCAGAATTTCCATTTGCCAGAATACCACAACAGGCTTCTTTTAAAAAGTTGTGACTAAGTTACACACAGTCACAAATCAATGTGTTGTTTGTTCCCCTATGATTTTTAGAAGAACCACCATAGAACTTGAACTGCTTTAGGCAAATTCTGTATTTTTGAACAAATTCACATTAATAGAAATCTTTTTTCATGGTTTTGTAGCTAGTTTTTTGTGTATGAAAATGTGCTACTAAATGGAAAGATGACTGCTGAAGCTGTGATAGCTACAGTGAAACTTTCATCCTCTCAACTGCTAGAAAAATCCTCTCTAAAATGGTCAGAACTACCAACCAGATGGCCAAAAATATTTTTTTCTAGAAAGTCACCTTGGCTTTTGGCCAGGCTCACATGCAGTTAATATATTTTTTTAAAACTAAAAAGAAATGAGAAAAATTAAAAAAGAGAGATACCTATGCAAGATGTGTGCCAATCTAACCAAGGTCTTCACTACCATCAACCATGATTTCTGCAAACTTCAGCTGTCCTGAAAAATTAATAAGTAGTATTCAGTCATTTCATGGTAGCATGGTAGAAAGGCCTTTGTATTCTTCTACCAAAAAGGATATCCAGCAAAGCCATCTCTTTGCAACACTTTTGCTTAGTGTTTTTTACCTAGCAGTTATTCTTGATGCTCAAAGACCAAGGAATTTTCATCTAATGCAGCAAAGATAAATTTGCAGTCTGCAGGAATCACGGGTTAAATATCATGTTACAGCTACTAGTGTGTGACCTGCTTCTTTCCAATAACCAAATATTACCTGTACAAATAATTCTGAGTACAGCACTCTACTGTTTCAATCCACTATCATATATGCATGCAATGACAATGCAGTACTGAACTGCAGGAAAAAAAACAACCAACAAAACAAACCATGTCATCAAGAACAGTCATACAATGCCAGGACTGAATTCAAGTCACATGTAAGATGGCAAAAGTGATTGTAAATTAAAGCAGCTCAAGGAAAAGGTGTCACTATGCTGCATATACCAGGCAATTACTATCACTCTTCTGTGTGGATAAATTATAGTGGCTGGAGCAAGTGCCTTAATGCCAAACCTATGCATTCCTTCCCACTGATCCTATAAAATGGCAAAATAAGGCCTTGCAAGTGTCAGCTGCTGAGGAATCAGTAAAGCTAGTGGATATCTTTGGATATCATTACCTATCTGTCATCTGAAGGTGTCTGTTTGGAGTTAAAAGAGAGCGACTGTCTGATTAGTTAAAGTATGCCAAAGAAATGTTGCAAAACACATATTTGAGGCATGTAATTCAGCTGAACTCCACCAGATTTCTATTATGTGAGACTAGAGCAAAAGAAAGTCTGATGTGCTTGTAACAAACCTGTAGTGACAGCATTAGGTATCAGAGGCACGTTAGGAAGCAAGCTCAATGTGTTACATTTCCAATGACAGATAAGCTCTGAGAAATTGGACTAATATCTCAACAACTAAGCCAAGCTGAATCATTTTAATGTGACTCAGTGGGGACTCCATCAATTTAAGCTGCTTAATATCAGTTTGCAAACACAGCCCAGAACTAGAACAGGCTATTTTTCTTGCAAGTAATGCTACTTCTGTTTTTCAGCTGTAGTGTTGACTCAAAGTAACTGAACACCCTTAAAAGCACATTAAATTAGAAAGAACTTAAAATATTCTTGGAAACAATTTCAGGAAGACAGACCTTGTGCACATGTGTGAGCAGAAAGTGACTTATCCGAAAGACAGAAAAAATCTTAAATGTGAGAAAACTTAGGAAAAGTGAGATTCTTCACTATTTTAGATAATGAATTGCAGTTCATCCTGTGGCAAGACACAGAAAGACATCTCCTGTGCTAAATCAACACAAACTGGAAAGAAATAACTAGAGAATGAGAGGTCAGCATACACAGAAGGCACTGATTAGATCACGTTGTCACAGCAGGACTTTTGGTTTGCTTCCTCAGACTGCAAAGGAAAAGCTGGAAGTGGAGATGTAAAGCAAAACATGTTGGGAACTCAACTCTGTGTTTCCCCAAATACTTTTCAGCTTCAAGTGCTTCCAGGCAGCTGTACCTTAGCAAAAAGACAGAAACACTTTTCTTGCCAAGCTTTACTCCTAGTAGCCTCCTAGCTGTTAATTCAATGGAGAAGTTAAGGATCAAATGAAAGCTGATACAAATTTAATTTAATTTAATGGCTGCACTTCAAGTGCCTTGACCAAAATTTAAATGACAAGGGATTACAAACTTGTTGAAACTGAAGAAAAATAAAATCCTGACAGACTGACTCATTTTGGACTATTGCAATTCTGCAATATTCACAGTCACATTCTAAACTTTACATCTTGCTAAACAAACTAGGAAAATAATTCAACAGACACTATTTTAATGGCAACAAAATGCTCCAAAGTATATTAAAAAAAAAAAGGCAAGATTTTCTGTGGGTAACAGATCAAATTTTGGTTATACAAACATAAAGAAAAGAAATCAAATACTCATTCACCTACTCAGTGAATAGAGATTTCTACTTTTTCCAAGTTTCAACCTCTAAATAACAAACAGGTCATTTCTCTAGAAGTAGAAAGAAATGAGTACAAATCTCTCACCAACACTAATCAAAGAGTTACTAAGATACTTAGCCACACAAAAATCTTAAATATTCAGTTACACAGCAATACAAGTACTACTTGTATCAGTTTGAAAGTAGGACATCTTTGCTTTAGACTTCCATCACTTAAATTTGAAGTTGCACTACAACAGAATTTAGCATAGAGTGACAATCTCTGGGAAAAAAATAAAGTAAAATCTAAAAATTCTTTTTTGAAGTAAGGGACATTTTAAAAATAGCAACAGGAAGTAATAACTGAACCTGGTACTAAGGAATCATTGCACTGCATTTTCTGTCACTAATGTTTTTGGTTTGTTTTCAATTTTTTCAAGTTACACATCTGGAAAAAAAAACAAACAAACCACCAAAACCTCAGTAGGACAACAGCATTCACCCCTGTCAGTATCACAGCCTGCACAAGCACAAGCCAACCTCAGCAGCACCTCTATTTCCTCAGTATGAAACCATCAAAGTTACTAGATTTCTCTTCAATGTACATTCCTCCCCACCCCCACCCCCCAGTTACTTAACCACTGGCACACGTTCCCACTGTGAAATTTATATTTTCATGAAAAATAAAGGAAGGACAGACCTGAAATTTCTCTTTTGGAATATTCCTTCGTGCTCCTTTTGCTAGAACAAGGGCTTCTTCCACTCTGTGGCTAGCTAGAAGATCCTGAATCTGTTTTTCCAAAGGTAGTGGCACCAAGATATACACACCCTTATTAGTAGCAACAATCACCTTTCCTGGACAGAGCAAACAAGACATGTTTAGTTTACATTCTCAACAGAAAACACCTGTTTTAGAAATAAGCTTTAAGACACACTATGCAAGATACAAGAACCTAAACAGCACTTAAAGTTCCCAAACTAATCTTTGTTGTTACTATATTTACTAGATAGCACAGTTTGCCTGTAAATTGCATCTCAGAAATACAGCAATAATGGTAAATAAATACATTTACAGCAGATTTTTTTTTACTCTGAGGTGATTCTCCCCCTCTGTTCTGCTTTCATGAGACCCCACGTGGAGCACCATGTTCAGCTCTGAGGCCCCAAGCTAAGACAGACATG